TTTAGTGCTTCTGTTCTACCTCCTAGTTACCTGCGTATTTCCTGGGGTCTTAAAAGCTTGCAAGTGGCTATCCAAGGCACAATTGGTCTCTATTCGCCTGGAACAACAGACAGAGAGTCAGGAATCCCAAAACCAAATCCACTGCCATTGAGTCAATTCTGACTCATAGCGACCCCAAAGGGCTTCCTCGACTATAAACCTCTACAGAAGCAGACTGCCACATCTTTCTCTCACAGAGCCACTGGTGGTTTTGAACTGCCAACCTTTCAGTCAACAGTCTGTCGCCTTAATCACTGCACCACCAGGGCTCCTTAGAGCTAGGAATAGGAGAAGGAAATGGAATGTATGGTTAATTGCCTCCATGAACAACTGCCTCCTTTGCCATGAGACCAGAAGAACTGGATGATGCCTGGCTACCATTAATGAACATTTTGATCAAAGGATTCTATAGAAGAATCCTGATCAAAAGAGGGAAAATACAGAATAGAATACAAATTCTTATGGACTCCAGACTTTCTGGAGCCATGGAGGCTGGATGAACTCCTGAAACTAGATTGCCCTGACTAAGATACTCTTTAAACCTTAAACCAAAAACACCCTCTGAAGTCTTCTTAAAACCAAACAATAGTTTAGCTTAACTAGTAAAGAATGTCTGCCTTGAGCATTATGCTTTTTTAAGAACAATTTAAAGAGGATCAAACTGACAACAGCAACTTGAAAGATTAGATAGGAACCTGGGTGGGGGGAGCAGAGAGTTTATGCTAATGGGCGAGGAACGATTCAGAAAAAGGGTGAGAATGGTTGCACAATTTGAAGAACGTAATCAACGTCACTGAATTTTACGTGTAGAAACTGTAGAATTGGTGTATGTTTTGCTGTGTTTATTCTCAACAACAGAATAAAGTTTAAAAATATGAATAAATGTTCAAGAGAGAAAAGCAAAACAATGAGATATCACATCACACATATTGGTTTCGCAAAAGTTTGAAACCTGGATAATGGTTACATCTCGACTATACCTGAGACCTGTCCTTTTCTCTCCATCACATTTGCCTAGTCCAGGGACACCAGGATCTTCTTTATTAACCTAATACAAAAAAATGTAACTGGTGTACCAATTTCTACTCTTGCTTTCATTCCCCACCCACCATTTCATTCTTCCCGTGGAAGCAGGAGAAATCTTCAATGGTAAATTGGATCATACCACTTCTAGGAAAGCAGAAGGTGGTATCTGAGTTGACTCCAGAAGTTGAAGACTAGCTGAAGTTGGTTGGCGTGGGGGGCAGAGGGTATGGACAAAATAATGCAGTGAATCTCATAAAACAAACAATGACTACGCAAGTCACCATTATCACAAATCACCTTGCTGTCGTACTCTCGCCACCATCTTCAGCCTGGAACTTGGCGCATCTACCTGACGTCACGGCTGCACCGCCCAGTTGATTCCTCGCGGTGCAACCTCTGTGTTCGTCTACCCCGCGCGCAAGTGCTAATATTCTCGCGGCGCCGGAAGTCTGAGACACGTGACCGGGTGACAGCGCTCGCTTGGCTACAGAGCTTTCTTTAGGTGCTGCGGCACGGGATGGCGGAGGCACCTCCTGTCTCAGGTACTCTCCCTGCCCGGGCGGGACTGGGCCTCCACTCGGGGAGCGGAAACCGGGTCAGTGACGAAGTCCAAGGGCTCCAGCCATTAATGTCGCGAGAGTAGCTTGTGCTAGGGTTGGGAATAGTGGCTCTGAAGGGCCAAAGCACGCGCGTTGTGAGTACCGACACCCGGACCAGCCTTGATTGAGTTGTGAAGCTGGGGAGCAGGTCCCGAGGAGAGCGGGTTTGTCCTGCGCCCAGCGAGTCCGTGTGGGCGTCTTGCCCTCAAACGAGGCTCTTCTTGGCCGTCATGGGGCAGCGGCCGAACTGGCTCCCGACGGGCTGACGTAGGCCGGGTCACCGCTCTTGCCGAGTGGCGGACTTCAAGCGCATAGCTAGTGTGCACGCTGTGCTTAGGTAGGGTGTGTTCTTGCCGTTCTGGTTAGTGACAGGGTTGGCAGCCTAAGACCCATGGTTTCCAATCGCAGCCTGCCACGAACTCATCGTGTGACCAATACTCGGTTTCCCTATCTGTCAATTGGGAGTAAATAAATATATTTCTCGGAAGGCTTTTCCGCCTTGTGCTGTCCCTGTTCCATAACTGTTCCTTCACTTCCTCGCCCCGAGTTCCCTCCGAGTGTAAAGACACTCTCCTTTGGTTGTTAATATAACATCCATTTCCATTTTCTTCTGGCTGTACCTTAGATCAGTGTTTTCCAAAATTTTTGGACATTGACCAAAAATAAACATTTTGCATCACAACCTTAATGTACACATACATAAACATAAAAGTGACCCAAAAGTTTCAGGAAGCAATGGTTCCCCTTACTATCTGCAATGTAGCATATTCTCTGTTTTGTTTAAAATAATGTTTATCACAGCCCACTAAATTGATTTCAGGACCCACTCTTTCTGAAAAACAGGGCAGCAGTTTACAGCATGGCATTTGGAAACAGTCATAGGTTTGAGTCTGAGTTCTGCTACCTATCAGCTGTTGGGACTCCAAGAAGACTACATATGTAGTTGTGTA